CCTGCCAAAGAAAAAATGCTAATTCCACATTCCCGCGGCTGAACCGACCAAATCGGTATGCCATTTTGGAAATTTGTAGGTTATCTTTTGTGGCTTTTTTTGTTGTGCTTTCGGAACTTGTTGTAACTTGAGTTTAAATTTTTTTTAAGTTTTAGTGTAAATAAATAAATCTTTATTTGTTGGTGATACTTTTATTCACTGTATCAATTTCAACCAGTGAAAAGGAAATGCATTTTTGCTCTTTCAAACTCATGAATCCTTCACAGAATCACAAATAAATTTGTCTATTTAGTTTGGATAATCACTCACCAATATCACTTCTCAACTGGGTTATCATCTAAAATTTACACACTTTACAATTGGTTATTATTAATCTCTCTCTTTCTATCTCTCTCTCTGTTTTTTTTTTGGTGGGTCATTCGATTTGATTAAAGTTTTGATAATTTAATAAAATCATTAATGATATCCTCAAAAAAAAAGAAAAAAGAAAAAGAAATCATCAATGACATTTGGTTAAGCTATATTTCACAAAAACTACTTTGCTTTATTCCCTTGTGGATGTATGTATTCAATTATTCATCGTTTCCCACCTATGTTTTCCTATTTCTGTCCCGTAATAATAATAAGAAATTAGAAATACTTTGCTTACACACAAGTTAATTAAATTTATTTTTCCTCTAACAATAGTTTTGATGATCATATCACTGTATCGTATGTGCTTATCATGAACATCTTTTAGTGACTTGTTTGTATGATACAATTTGCATAGGTGGATCAGTAAGCTTTTTTATAATCTCTATTGCACAAACTCCATTGGAGCCGTATTTTCTGTCAAGTTTTATTCAGGAATTAATGTATTTCACTCCTTATATGGGAATCAGAAATGGCGAGCTTCTTGCCTTATCTTCCGGAAGAGGTGTTGGAGTTAATCTTTTCGTGACCCTCATTCGTGCCCTCATAAAAAACTCAAAATTTGTGGCCAAGCATCTCCACAATTTGAACAACAAAAACTCCTCTGCCTCCTCCTTAGTTTTGGCTCAATCCGGAAATCTGCTCTGGACATAGAAGGTCATTGCTCACTTCACTCAGCAATGATGGTGGCAATGATACCGTTCATTGTGTCACTGAACTTCACAACGTCCCACTTACTCCGAGTGGACTCTGTGGTTGGCAACACTGGGAGGAGGTGGCTTGTCATGCTAGATTTAAATGATCTAAACATAATTTAAATAGGATCCAAAACAATAATCTAATTAAAAATCCGAAAATGCCATATAAACTTATTTGGGATTCATGCATACAGAATGTTACCTCTTCCTTTGGTGGGCAGCAGAGACAAGCCGTTCATGGTTGCCGGAAAACGTCGATGGCCGGCCGGAGTGGAGGACCTGCAAAAGGAAGAAGAACGGCAAGAGGAGCACAATGCTCCTCCCTATCTCTCCCTCTCTCTGTTCGGCCACACCCGACCACAATGCCACCAGCCCCCCAAAAATAAAAGGACGGCTCACTATATAACCAAATAGGCCTAAGGGCTTTAAACAATATTCAATAGAGAGAGTATTTAGTCTAATAGATTGATTAAATATTATGAAATAAAAAGAGTTTAGATGCCTCAAATGAGTTAATAAAATAAATATTTATCTTATAACATATATGTGTTAATTCACATTAACACAATTATCTATAAAATATTTTAATTAATTATAAAATAAATTATTATAATTATAAAAGTTCACATAAAAAAATTTCAAGACGTCATTGTAATGGGATCCTTTGCCTCGTAAGGGATTATTGCCGGGAAATAATGATATGCAATCCAGCACTGCAAGAAGCTAAGCGCCTCCCGAAGTCGAACATTTCCATCAACTGTTGGTGCGCGGATATGACTTGTCAGGATTTTTCAACTGCCGTTGGTCATAGCTGAGGCATACAGCCTTAGTGAGGATTCCTGGAGACAGATCAACATCCCTCACCACATCGCCAATGAGATTAACATCACAAGTCAGGACGATTACCTGCACTGGAAGGGGTTTTGTTATTGGGGTTTAACGGAGGATTACAAGTCTGATCTCAGGATCCTTTGTTTAGACTTGTTTAGGGAGAAATTTCCGCTGCGTTTGGAGTTATTTTTATTTTTAATTTATATGTTTTTTGAGAAAGAAAAAATAAAAATGAGAAAGAAACGGTGTTTGACACAATTAAAGACAAAAAACAGAAATAAAAATGATTTTTTAATTTAGTGTAAAATGAGAAAAAAAATGAAAAAAAACTTTTAATCGTTTTTTATTTTTTGTTTCTGTTTTCTCCTTTCTCGAGTAGAGAGAAAAATATTAATAGATTTTTTATACTGAAAATAATCTTTTGATAAAACTACCCAACGCATTTTTAAAAATAATTTTTATCTGAGATTGAAAACGTTTTCATTTCTATTTTCATACAAAAAAATAAAATTATTTTAAAACGAGTTTCAAACGCATCTCATCCCACTGTATTTGGAGTTGGACGTCCTTTGTTGTGTGAAACGACTCGTTTAGCTTATTTAAATGCTATGAAGCAAGAGATAATCAAAATTCAAAATTCCTTGTAATATGGGTTATGGATGACTATGGACCCGTTTATTTCGTTGATTTGAGTTTGTAATTCGAGTTGAGATATGATTTTATGTGAGAGCTTTTTACTGTAGTAAAAAAGTTAAATGTGACTGTTTCTGAGAACTTTTTACTGTAGTAAAACTCAAATTCTAAACTCGAATCGGTGAAGTGAACGAGGCCTATAATGTTATTAAAGGCGGTAAAGGTGATTGGACTTTGAGCAAACATCTACTCGTCGGACCACTAGTTGGCGTTGGTTATCCTTTGACATTCTGGAATAGTGATGTGTTCCTCATGAAAGATGAAGATGACAAGTTGTTATCCGTAAACTTCCGCGCCAACAAGCTTAGGAAAATTGGGGCAGATGGTACAGTACATCTTCCAATTTGTTTCTACATAAAGAGCCTGGTGTCTGTTGTGGGGAGAGGAAGCCCGGCGACTCGGAGAGTTCAAGCACAAGGAAGAAGAGCGAAAAGAAAGAAGACCCGGCTGCGAAAGTAATCCAATTATCCAAAGTTCCATAAAAACTGTTGTTTGGTAGGCATTTACCATTTCTTGACATTGAATTCTCTCTTAAATAGTGTCGTAATACTTGCATCTATTTAGGTCTAGTTCCCTCTGTAAATTTAAGTTTTTAATTTGAATTGAGATGTGATATTTTTTTAAAATTTTTAACGAAAAAATTAGATGTGATATTTTCAGTGAGTTTTTAACTGTAAATATCTAGAATTAAAAAATTAAATCGGTGAAATAAACGATGCTTAAATTTTTGTCTAACTGAAATGTTTCTTGTGTCAAAATTATACATTTTCTCGTCCTCTTTTAAAATTCATCTCTTGTCAGCTTATTGAGCATATGTGGCTTATCAAGCATCTTTCCAATTATTACCTTGTTTATTTATGTACTATTCATTGTTTATTTATTTATTGCTTCAATTCCAATTAGCACATGTAGAATAGCTCTGATAATACATCATCGTCAATGTAGAAGAACAATGGTTCGTTATGTTTGCTTCTCTAATGCTATGTTCGGTAGGAAAGAAAGAAAATATGATATAAAAAAATATAAAAATAATAGAAAATAGTAATGATAAAAAGAAAATTAATTTTTTTTTATGTTGTTTGGTATAAGAAGATAGAAAGAAAATAAGCTTACATTCAATTATTTAGTATTAGAAGTTAAATTGGGAGGAAAGAAAAAATCTTACTCGTAAATTACTTTTATATCCTTAAATTTTTTGCTTGGATGTTGATGGAGAAAATAGTAGTTTAGTAATTTTACTCACTTTAATGAGTTGTCCCTATTTTTTATCTCATTTTCTGCCCACTTGTGGAAAGAAAAAAAATGGTGGGGTCCACATGTATTTTTTTTCACTCCATTTTCTCTTCCTTTCTCTTCTCTCTCCTATCAAACAATCTACATTTTCATTTTCCCTCATAAAATCCCTCCACCTTCTTCCTTCCTTCTACTTTTCCTTCCTACCAAACATACTCTAAGTGTTGACTGCTACTAGTAATGACCTACTTTTTGATTTGTCAAACATTATGTGAAAGTGTGGTTTTCCCACCTAATAATGGTCTTGAGTCTTGCATTTCCACATGTGAGTAGGCCCGTTCATTTCGCTAATTCGAGTTTAGAATTTGAGTTTTGTTACAATAAAAAGTTCTTAGAAACAGTCACATCTAACATTTTTGCTACAGTAAAAAACACTCACATAAAATCACATCTCAACTCAAATTCTAAACTTGAATCAGCAAATAAACAGGGCCTATTGAAGAACCAGTACTAATAATTACAGTTTGTATTGCACGTTACAGTGTTAAAACAGACAAAGGAATGGAGACAAATATTTAGAGTGTATGAGCTGAAATTTTTACCTATTCTTGATTAATATTATTTTTAATTAAATAATTTTTCTGTTAGCATAAATTTTTATGTCACTCGTCTCTTTATTTACTGTTTGACACGCGAATTTCACTATCTCATTTTCTATTTAAATAATGATATATCATATTAATAGAGTCCGCGTGTCAAACAATGAGTAGAGAGTGACATAATGAATGATATTAACATTTCTCATAACTATATTAGTAAAAAACGTATTAATTAAAAGTAAAAGGTAAAATTTTAAACCCATATACTCTAAGTTCTAACAATTTTTTTAAAGAGCAATTACCTATTAGTAGGCCTAATTTGTGAAAGTTGAATATGTGAAATTCAGTATGCAAAATCCGACAATTATAGATTAGATTGCAGATTGATCTCGTAGAATATAATCTGTGAACACCTTTCTATTAATATATAATAATAAAAATGTAAATTATTTTTTTGGAGGTCAATTAGGAAAATTCACTTTTATGGTAGTGTCATTAAATTCTACCACTTCGGTAGAAAAGTTTGAAACATATTGCTATTAATGAATAAAAAGACAATTTTACTCTAGATAACCTGGTTTCACTTATTAATTTGAGTAGGTCGGTGATTAACTGAAAGATTGAAATTTAGACATAAATAAGGAAAAAAAAAATAAAAGGTAAAAACTAACGACCACCTCTTAGAAATGGTATAAAGTAAGATTAATTGTTTTTTTTCAAATAATTTTGTGTTTTTTAGAGCTGGCCTATTATTATTTTTTTTAAAAAGAAAGTATTCCATATGTAGGTATATAAACAATTTTTTAAAACAAAAGGAATTAAAATGAGTTTTTTGTTACGATTTATAAATTTAAAATTTTACTAGTAGAAATCGACTATAAAAGTCCCACATCTATCTCTGAATTTATAGCGGTTTGATAATGTGCCTTCCTAAATTTTTAATTTTGACAATTTAATTCAGCTAAATAGTAACAATGTATCTTATTTAATGATGATTAAGTTAAATTGGTGTTAAAAAATCACGTTTGATAAAAAAAATTTATATCAAAATTCAAACTGTGATATAAATCTCTCAATTCCTTAAATTTGACAAAAAAAATCATATAAAAAATGGTAAAGTGAGACATATTGCAACTATTTACGAATTGGAGAGGTAAATTATCAAAATTAATGTAGGTAAATTATCAAAATTAACATTTAGTTCACAGTTTCAAAATTATTTTTAATTTAAATATATTTTTTATAAGAAAAAATATAATAAAAAATTACAAATTATAATTCAAATCATTATATGAATCTTCGTACTAAATACCCAATTAAATGTTTAGAGAGTATCAAAACCCCTATAAATTCAGGGCAAATGTCCAAAATTCTGAAAGAAAAGGCCCATGCTCAAAGGAAAATATTTTTTTATTTTTATTTTTTAAAAATAGAGGGAGAGAGAGAGAGAGAGAGAGGGGGAGAGAGAGCTAAAAATGGAGAAAAATATAGCAGATAAAAGAGTTGCGTTCTTCTGCTTCGCCAAAACTAGGCCCCAAAAATGGCGAACCACACTTTCTCTCACTTTCCGCTTCCTTCTCGAAGCTTCTTCGCAATCGCCGCCTAGCTTTCTCAATCGCTTCATTTCCGAGCTCAATTTTTTTTGTTCTCTCACTGCTTCAATGTAAGTTTTTTTTTTTTTTTTTTTTTTTTTTTTTTTTTTTTTTTCTCTTTTTTTTTTTTTTTTTTTTTTTTTTTTTTTTTTTTCCAGCGTTTCTTCGGTTTCCAGTCCGTTTCTCATTTTGTGTTTTTCATTTCTTCTGTTTGGCTCAACGGAAATTTTGCGGAATTTTTGACGGAAACGATATATTTTTCTTGTTATTTTTTACTTTTTCGGAGAAAATGGAGTACGATAAGTGGATAGAGTTCAAGGAACTGTAGGCTAACTATGGAGCTAAAATGTTCACATTAAAGAAAAAAGAGATTTCTATTTTTTGAAGAACTAAAAGAAAGAATCCAAAATAGATTTTTTTAATCTATGTTTTTGTTTGCCTTAACAGCTACGTTCAACATTTGCTTATTCTCGCGCCAAGAGTTGGACTTTATTTTATTTTATTGTTTTTTTCCTTGTTTTTTTCCCTGAACTTTTCTTGAAAAATTATTTGCTGATAGCTAATTACTTTAGTTTATATTCTCTGCTTATTTATCTTAAATTTAATATTTAGTCAACTTTGATTCTATTCTAATCTCCAAATAGTTTTAGCCTTTTCCTGGTTCTTTTCTTTACATTGTTTTAAATTATTCTTCTCATTGGCATATCCGCTTGTTATGATCAGAAAATTCTTGCTCTTTGTTGTGCAAAGCTATTGAAATTTATGGTCAATCCGTCTAAAATACTTTGTGAACATTTACTAACTGTCTAACCATAACTTCTTTCTGTATGAATACAACCTCCAGGATAATGGGAATGGTATATTGAAATAGCATCACTTAAAATAGCTTTGTATTGATGGAAAGCTTTGGTGGGAATGGGTTTTCGGTTGTTGGGCACAACATAAGGAAGAAGAGGAGTGATGCATCTCGTAAAGCTCGCCTCAATTCACACATGCTTCTTCAGAGCAATCATTTTTTGCCGGCATCAATAGAGATGTTTACCAATGGAAGCCACAATGAGGAACGGAACAATGAGGATAAATCGGTTGCTTGTGATGGAGTGAGAAGTGGGAACAAGCTTAAGAAGTTGAAACTCAAGGTTGGTGGTGTTACTCGCACAATCCATACCAAGTCCACAACTGATTTCACCAGTGGGGATTGCTCATCCACCCAAGTATCTTATGTTTCCTTGACCGCTTTTGCCCCCCGAGAGAAGTCGCTTCAGGTAATTGGCTCCTATATTTTCAATCACTAGTAGAACTAGAAATGCAAGGATTTGGTCGATAACTTTTAATATATTACGACTTTGTAATGAATTTAGATACATGAGGATACTGTTTAGCATAGAACTTTGGTGATGTTGATGACTTTATTAGGTGACTTTTGAAGGTGTACATTCCTTCGAAATAAAAAATATTGGGGAATTTTTTTTTTAAAATAGAGAGAATAATACTCACTATAGGACAAAATAGCTTTTCGAAAAGTTTGAATAATGAGTTATTGTGAGAGTGCATAGTGAACCACAATCCCTCTTTCTATGGTATAAATATAGGTTGAGATTTAACTGCTTGGTCTCATTCCTCACCACTTTAAAGGAAGATAGTTATCCGATCATGTGAACCGTCTGATCATTACTAGATTTATTTCTAAGGATTTGATAGTGCAATCACAACTGTAATGGCTGGAGATTAGCCTGACAAAATGTCACCATCTAGTTACTATTCGTTTAGTTTAACAATTTATTTGTGGATTCGATGCGTGTGTACCTTTCAGTTACTGCCTTCATCAATCTATTTTATTGGGGTATTAATAGAACAATAATTCTTTGACATATGAAAAAGCCATTCTATGATGTTGTTGATAATGTAGGATGACATAAATGGTACTCACACCTTTCCTTCAGATAAGAGGAAAGGTTTTGGAGTTAAATGGAAGAATATGTCAAAGATTGATTCTAGTTCCCAAAAGAAGCATTCTTCAAGGGGAACTCCTGTGAAATATGAGCCTGTTCGCAAGAGCAATCGAGTTCCTAAACGAAGAGTCTTGGATGTTGGATTCAACGAAGACGATGATGATAAAGATGAGGAAATTCGGTACCTTGAGAGGCTTAATGCTCCTAAAAATCCAGACCATAGTGAAAATGGGAAGGATTGCAAAATCCAGAAAGAACACAGGCTTTTTAAGCCTCCAAAAAGTATGGATGGCTTGTACGATGATGCTGTTGGAAACTATGGATCACCAAGGCTGGCCAAAGAGTTCAGAAAGGTGTCAAGATCGGAAAAAGATTTTGAGGATACAGACTATGTGGAAGAAGAGCCAATATCTGATGAGGAACCTGGACCTAGTGGAAAAAAGCTGAAAAGGGAATCTCCTAATCTGTACACCGAAGGATGGAAGGAATCAACCCCTATTACACGTACCCGGGCCTCTGCTGCTTCTGTTGACCTTTCAAATTGTTTACTTTCTTCCAATTCTAGAAGTGAGTTTTTCTCGTTAGTTTCTCCAAATTGGTGGTAAAGAGAGATGTTTTGATATTTGAAGCTTGAGAAAAAGTACATACACGCACAGATATGCATGCATATACATATCAAACTTCTTTCATGACCCCGTATTTGTTGGTTGATTGCAGGAAAGGAGAAACTATCTGAAATGGACCTACAGCTGAAGAAGGCCGAGGCCGCTCAGAGACGTAGAATGCAGTCAGAGAAGATGGCTCGGGAGGCTGAGGTTTGCCCATCATGTTACGTTGTATACTTATCATCTTTTGGTTTGAAATATAGAAAACATTTTAATTTTATAATTTTTAGGCCGAGGCAATCAGAAAGATACTTGGTCAAGATTCTGGAAGGAAAAAAAGGGAAGAGAAAATGAAGAAGCAGAGGGATGAATTGTTACAGGTCATTAATAAACAAAGGAAATTTTCTTTCCTCTTTGTAGAAAGTTCGTAGCATTGTTCCGACAATGTGTTGACTGTTATTTCATGCAGAGTAGGGCTGCTAATTCCCTCACACTTGCATTAAACACTATTAGGTGGGTCAATAGTCCCACTGGAACCATCGTTACGTTTTCGGAAGATATGGGCCTGCCAAGTATATTCAATCCAGTTCCCTGCAGGTAAAACTTTTAAACAAACTCCAAAATTTTTTGGCTCCGTGATTTCATCATTTTTATTTATTTTTTGTTAATATACTCAAAATTAGTTGTCCTGCTTTTAGTTACCCTCCTCCAAGGGAAAAATGCGCCAGTCCGAACTGCACAAACGTGTACAGGTACCGTGATTCCAAATTGAATCTGCCTCTCTGCAGCCTGCAATGCTACAAAGCCATACAAAAGAATGTGCAGCCTCTTGTTACCCTCTGACGGCCGTTCAGTTCTTCTCCGATCGTCTCTGCAAAACATGGAACAACCAGTTTATATGTCTGGTGCTGTATGTCTTGAAAAATTGTACATCCTGAAACTAGTCATATGGAAAACCTAAATCATATGATCGTGTCAGATTGTTGCTGGTAAAATTGTTAGGGCAGGGGAACCAGGAATGTGCCTAAGACGATTAGTCGGATATGGTTTGTACTGTCTTATTTTGCTGGGAAAGTCCTACGCCTACCAAAGTGGAATATCGCCAATGTCATTCAACTATTCATTTTGGCATTCGCCTTTTGTGAATCTTGCACTTTTTAGGGGGGGGGAGAATGAAAAATATGAAAAAAGCTGTTTTTCTTTACTTTGATTACTTGGGTTTAGACCGATTAAAGTCAGAGTTTTTAGGGTTCATTTGACAGAGTTTTTACTTTTATTTTTTACCAATAAAAGAAGAGAAGTAAAAATTATAACTTTTCAGTAAGTGTTTGAAACAAAAAAGTCAATGAGTCAAAATGATTTTTAAATTTTTTAATAAGTAATAAAAGTGTTGTAATTAAATTTATAATGTCTTAATTAAATTTTGGTACAAGTTTTAAAGACAATTTGGATGTGTTTTTTCTAGAAGTTATAATTTTTGAATTTGACAGAAAAAGTCAAAATATTTTTAACAACTCATCTAAATATTTTCATAAGCAGCTTTTAGACTTAGGAAGTCAAAAACAGTTTTTAAAAAGCTCTCGTAAACAGGCTCTTAGTCTCTTCACTTTTCTCTTCCCTCCCACCATCATTTCATATGCTGCTCTGGGAGTGCTAAAGGAATACAACTATGAACAAGCTTCTATTAGTGTCGTCAATTACAAACGATTATCGATATAAGAAGGCTAATAAACTACGATCCTTCGCTTTTGCTACGTTATGCGGAGAAGGCTTGTTTTGAGTGCACTTATATAAGGCATAACAAGCAGGAAAAGATAGGAAGATAGTGGCTCCCTTTGGTTTTTAAGTTCGATTAGAAATTTAAATTTTGTGAGATAAAATAATTAAGTTGAACTTATAAAACAAACATATGGTAAGAGTATTGTTTTGTAATTGTACATATCTCCACACGTTGAATATTGTAAGCCAGCTTTATCTCTTTTTTGTTTTTTAAAGTTCTTCTGTATATTTTATTTTATTTTTTATATTTTCAAATCTTATTTATTTTCTTTAAAGCTGGTTAGAAAGTAAAAGGAATAGGCTAAGGTAAATCAAACGGCACTTCTTCATCTTGTGGATAATTATTAGAAAGTAAAAGTTAATATCCTAAGGTAATTAAGTGTAATCTTATAAGGTTCTAAGGTGTATGTGAGATAATTGCGTCCTATTAGTCATAATTAATTGATACTCTTTTTTTTTTTTTTTTTCAATGTTTTCCCACCATAAACTTTTTATAAGATAACAAGTTTTTAATTCTTAATTTGTTTATGTAGCGTCACTACTTAAGTCTAACTTTTCATTATTACTTCTTTTAGTTAATCTATTTATATCTTATATAGTTTAAATTTGTGACTATAATAAAATGGCGATGATGAAATAATAATAATAACGATAAATTACACAGTTGCCTCTTAAACTAAGTCTTGTTACTAAATGCTCTCAAACTTTAATTTTAGTTTTTTTTTTTTTCTCTTTAAACTTCAATATTTCTTGTAATTTTTTCCATGTTTTAAATTCATGATGGGAAATGTAAGAATTAACAAAAAAAAAAAAAAAACCTGCTTATATTAAGATTTTTAACATCAACAACGCATATTACACAAATAATGTCTCGTTTGAATAATTTAATAAACATGTTAATTCCTTCTCACGCAGTCATCACATGAAAGACATGTTAATTCCTTCTCACGCAGTCACATAAAAGTACACTTACGCAGTAAGAGTATCATTTTTTTTTAATATACCTGACTTTCTCCATCATTTCATGTTAGTTCCACCATCATTTTCATATGCTGCTCTGGGAGTGCCAAAGGAATACAACTATGAACAAGCTTCTATTAGTGGCGTCAATTACAAACAATTATCGATATAAGAAGATCGTGATATATTACAATTTTATATAAAAAAAACTTGAATATATATATATATATATATATATATGTCTTTTAGCTACTGTATCAGTAGAGATTCATTTATGCTTCTTCACACACGCAAGAACTATCTCTACGATCTAAGAACCGTCCATGAAAACAGCACCATGCCCACCGGCGTTCATGAACTTCTTCAACAAAAGAACCACAATTGCAATAGTGAGTCCAACAGCAGCCCATGTGAACAACCGGTCGTCAGCCGGTCTTTGAGCCCTCACTTCTTGTCTCTGCAGCACCTGATTACTAGAGTGAACCTCTGATGGCGCTCTCTCTCTTGCAAGCCTGGGATTAGCATTCGCAGGCGATTCTTGATGTTCCTCAACAACCCTCTCCCCTACTGACGGATTGGGTAGCCCTTCTGCCGCCTGTGCAACATCACTATTTTGAGAGCCTGCCTGAGCATCTCCCTCCTCGATCTTTGTAGGTTGTTCCTCAGGAGTCTCTGACGGGCAAAGTTGAGGAACCGGTGGTGCCTTGCTTAGCATATATTCATGAACCTAGAATTTTTTATATATGTTACCATTAACACGTTGGTCACAGAATATGCAAAACTGAAAAAAAAAAAAAACCCTGCCTAAATGTAGGAATAATGTTTTTGGGAGAACTAGCATACCTCATCAATTAACTTTTGACGTTCAGGAGTGCCGAATTTGGGGGATGCTTCGCGAGATTTTACGGCCAGAGCACGCCTCTCTTCCTTCTTGTAGTCCAGAGAACCCAATGCACCATTTGGACTAGTGGGCATGAACGCAATAAGTGCAACTAAAGCAGTCCGCACTGCCAACAGTGACGCCCAATTAATCAAGTGAGAATATTTGTCAGCAACATGCCTAGCCAGTGAAATTTTTGGCTATATGCCGTTACTTCAGGAAAGAAAGAAATTTACCACTCCATGATGGCTGCCAGTGCTCAGGATGGTGATTTGATATGCTCAAACAAATCTTCGTTTGTGTTTCAAAGCGGCCATTTGGCTTAAAGCAGAAGACCCAAAAAGAATTCTTAGCATGTAAAATTGGGAACATCACAAAATATAGCACAAGACCCAAAGGGATTTTAAGTAATGTAGGTCACATGAAGAAATAAAATAATGGGGAGACGAGATTATACCGTCAGCAACATGAAGGAAGGAGGCTTGAAGGGATATTCTGCAGGCAACTGGATTCGTCCATGATAGATCCCACCCTCAAATTCGGTATCACGGGGACCCCTGATGGCGAATTGCCATTCAAAAATATTCTCCTGTATGCAAAACTTATGAGCTTACGACTACATACATTCAAACATCTAGGGCGTAAATCATACACAACTTTTTTAACCAAACACATAAGCAAGAGATGCTTCTCAAAAACTGAATGATAAACTGAACCAAATAAGAACATGAAACAACGGAATACATATTGAAATGAAGCATAAAACTTATGAAAATCATGGCATTTCTCAAAAAAAATCCGACAGAGAAGAAAATTATTCAAAAACATAAGGAGTATAAAACAACTGATTAGGGGATTTTGAGCATAACAATAGTACAGTAACATTACAAATGTCCATAGCAATAATGCATTTCCTAATTCTTTCAATAGGATGAGGATTAAACCAGCAATGAATAAGCAATTCGACCAAATCTCAACAAATTGATCCGTTCCACAGAGAAACAAAACCTAATCCTTTACAAGATGAAGAACTGAACAACCTAATCTTAGCATAAGCCAAACCAAATCGCAAACAAAATCACTGTTCGATCGAAAAAATTGGGGATCTTCCAAGAAAGAAACCAAAAATTAAAATCACAAACTCAAAAAGATCAAACATTTCCACATCGAAACCACAAATTTCACCGCCGAATCAATAAACTTCGGAAAAAAAACCTAGATCAATTCATCGGAAAAAAAATTCATGAAAAAGAAAATAGGGATCGGAGAGAAAATGAAACCTCGAGAGGCAAGCTCATGAAATCGTCGGAGGAATTCGACTGCATCTCCTTGATTTCTTGAAGAATCCTCTTCACCGCCGGGTTCTTGAGGTTGTACTTGTCCTCCGCCATGGCTCCGCCGCCGTCCGATTTGTGATTATGTATCTAGAGAGAGAGAGAGAGAGAGGAAAGAGGGAGAGGGTGGGTGATAGATTCGTTGGTTTAAGGGACAATTTGGAGCTGTTTGTTTGTTCAAGTGCAGTCAACGACGTCGTCTATCGTGCCGACACGTCAATCTGGTGCGTAGAGGCTTACGTGTCGATGGTTTATTGGATGAAACTGGGACGCTGATTTGTTTTTATTAACACCCCCACAGTCTTAATGATTAGCAAAGCCACCCCCACAGTCCAATTATTATTAAGGACAAATTTTATAAATTCTTCATGAAATTTATCACATGTGTCAACATGTCTTTGAGGTTAATTCCGTTAAGTTTTTTAACAGAAATACTTATAAATATCCTCTGAATTTTATCACTTATATTTATATACCACATGAACTTTAAAATGTACATGTTTTACTCCCCAACTATGATATGTCTCTAACTTTTCTCTCTTCATCTTGATTCTATCAGCTTTTTAACAAAAATATTGAAATGACCATTATATTATTAATTATCTATGATATGTGACCATTAAAGTTTGTTAAGTTAATGTGTTTCTTAAGGTTTGTGTTGATTTTTTTTTTTAAAATGTACAATATAATAAATTACCTGAGCGCATTTAGATTTAGCAATGCTATATATGTATAAAGCATGAACATGTTTTATGTCAAACACTTCTATTTAGGTGAAATATTAAGAAAAAAACTCATAAAATTGATTATATTATACATATTTGCTCCTCATTTTTCCCTCTTTATTGTCTGTAATCAACTAATGTTTTGAGAATTGGTGTTTAACTAATATTTTTAGAGGAGAAGGTATTTCACCTAAATAGAAGTGCAGATTTTCTCCTCATTTTTCTCTCTTCATTGTCTGTAATTAACTAATATTTTGAAAATTGGTGTTTAACTAACATTTTTAGAGGAGAAGGTATTCAATAAATCAAAAATATTATAAATAATTAGTAATTTAATGGTTATATCAATATTTTCGTCTAAAAAAGGGATAGAATTAAGATGGAGGAGAAAAGATTGGTGATATTGACACAAGTGACATAGTTCAATTGGCATTTATAAGTATTTCTGTTAAAAAACTTAACGAAATTAATCTCATTGGACATATTAACACAATATGCATATTTTGAAATTCATGAAACATATTAACACAAGTGAGAAAGTCACGAAGAATTTATAAAATTTGTCCTATTAATTAATCACTAAAACCACCACACTCACATTCTACTTTACAATTTGGAACACCACACACCTTTTTCTTTATTTTTCTTTTCATTTTTATGGAAAAAGTTTTTTATCCTTTTTTTTGTTTGTTTGTTTTTTTTAAGAATTGGTAATTTGGAAATGGGATACCACTAAAACCGAACGGATGAAAAGCATTCGTTTTAACTTTTAAGTTTGTAGTTTCACGGTCGTTTCAGCAAAAAATGTAAATAACAACAGGTCGTTGATAGTTTAGGCGTCTGCTGCATTGTATAAAACGCCATCTTTGTTTGTGGAAATTTCCAAACATCAATTCCTGGTGGTCGAAACGAAACAATCTTGTTTACACCAGAGAGTTTGTTATCGGTTTGTTTGCTGTCGTTGATGGTTTAAGGCGTTTGCTGCATTCTGTAAAAGGACGTCTTGTTACAATACAGAGTGTGTTGTCTTTTATTGTAATGAAAACGTCTTCATTGCAATAAAACGACGTGATGTTTTCATGCATAATAATGACGTGTCGTTCATTGTTTACATTTTGTTGTCGTTGGTTTGTATACCACATACATATATACATACATACATATACGTATACACATGGAAAATGACATTGTCGTTTCCAACATCAGTATTTCACATGAATAAACTGCTGGAGAAACGACTTTCAATCTCTAGCTTGATGGTATGACATTTGCTAAGTGGAATTGGCAAAGGAACGATGGAGAGTAAAAAGTAAAACATCCATGCAAAAATTTGCTGCTTTTCTCGTTTCCAAAGCTTCTATATACATACATACATACATACATATATATATATATATTATCTAAGTTTTTGTCCATTCTATTATCTAAGCTTCTTTGGTAAATCATTTGACAGATTGAACAAAAGCTTATTACAATCTTGATTTGAGCTTCTGAATATTATAAAATTCCAGTTTTGTTTGAAATCTTACGAAAGCTCCATGTAATGCTCCGCGCTAAAAACAAATGTTGTCGAGCCTTGGTATCCAAATTGCTTGCATATAAATAAACGACATTTATTTTCATGAAACAAGTCATCTTGTTACCATCAACAAGGAACTTTGATGGGCTTGGACTTTGTCTAATCAGGACAAAATGGGAGAGTTGGTCATGACAATGAACTTTGGATTTTCGAATAAAATATAAAAATAAAAAAATATTGTGGTTTGATGTGCTTATAACCAGAGTTTCTTGTTATTATAAGACTTTGTAACTTCTCTAGGAAGACAATAATAGAGCTTAAGCCAATGAATTTTCATTTTGAGCAGCAAAATTCTATTTTCTCTATGCAGGATTTCACTTTTGAAGAAATTCAAGATCTTCTTGGTCATACTGATGAGCATCAAAGGTCGATGGAATTCGCTTTCGATGGATTTCAAGACGATCGCATGGTTTATGATCCTCAATATGATGCAGTTTCACCGCCACATCAAGCATTAACAGAGGAGAGCACAAAGCATGATATTGGGGTCAAGAAGGAGTATCCATTTTCTTTAGCTGCTTTTGAGATATTGAAAAACCATGGAAACCGGTTTAAGCGATTAACGGGGAGAAGAATTGTCGAGGCAAACAATGACATAACAACACTCAATGAGGTGGCTGCAGACCGAAAACTATCAACCGAAGAGATCTTGAGAATTGCCGGAGAAAGATTCATACAATACTCGTCCCAGCAGGCAACAAGCCATCCTTTTCAAGCTTCCTTCTCTGGCCTTTCCTATGAAGAGACCAAAAATGTTGAGCTTGTTGAATTGCTTCTGGCTTCAGCTGAGAAAGTGGAGAACCAACAGTATGAAAGTGCAAGAAGATTTCTCAACTTGTGTGGTCACTTGTCTTCAAACACAGGGAATCCAGTTCAAAGGGTGGTTTACTATTTATGTGAGGCTCTTAAGGAAAAGATTGGTAAGGAAACAGGAGAGATTGCGTGGAAGGGTAAGGGGAAAAATCACCGATCATTCGATGTGAACAAAGCATTGGTGGTTCCAGATGCCCCTAAGCTTGCGTTTCATAAAGGACTTCCTTTCTCTCAAGCAGAAAAGTTTGCTGGAATCCAAGCCATTGTAGAAAAGGTTGGTGAAGCAAAGAAGGTTCATGTGATTGATATTCGAATAGGGAATGGTGTTCAGTGGACAGCCTTGATGCAAGCTCTTGTGTCTCGCCACGATTGCCAGCTCGAACTTCTCAAGATAACAGCGATTGTAACTAGTTCAAAACATGCTATTGAGGAAACAGGTAAGTGGTTGTCTAATTTTGCCTCTACTATGAACATTCCATTTTCTTTCAAGATAGTTATGGTACCAAACATGTCAGACCTCAAGGAAGATCTTTTTGAATTGGACGCCGATGAAACGATTGCAGTCTACTCTTCTTTTACATTGAGTGGCATGATTGCACAACCAACTCAATTAGAGTCTCTAATGAGGGTGATTAGGGGACTACATCCATGTGTCATGGTTGTGACCGAAGTTGAGGCAAATCACAATTCCCCGGTCTTCGTGAACCGTTTCATTGAAGTCCTTTTCTTCTTTGGGACATTTTTTGATTGTGTAGAGGCTTTCATGGAAAGGGATGAGCCAAATAGATTGATATTTGAAGAATTGTATTGTTTTGAGGCAATGAGGAACATTGTAGCTTTTGAGAGAGAAGAAAGGAAAATTCGGCATGTGAAGATTGATGTTTGGAGGGCGTTTTTTGAGAGGTGTGGAATGGAGGAGCTAGAATTGAGCCTATCATCTACATACCAAGCAAAGTTGGTGACAAATAATTTTCCATTTGGGAGTTCTTGCACATTTGATATGGATGGAAAATGCCTATTAATGGGGTGGAAGGGTTCACCAATTCAATCTCTTTCTGTTTGGAAGTTCCTTTAGCAACAATTTACTTGCTGGTGAAGGTTTATTTCAATCTTATGTACACTATTTTCCTAGATTCAGGTCCAAGTTATTTTTGATAAATCATATTTATCAACAAATATTAGCTTTAGATTTCTGATTCATGGTCAAGCTGTCGACCATGATTCTCAATTTTTTTTTTAATGGTACCTTGATTTCGCCTGTAAAATAATTTAGATGGAAGTTTGAAGTTCTTACTTTGGTTGTCTTCATGTAATTAAAACATGTTGCTTAAAGTCTGGAGTTTGCTGTCCCTTAAACGGAAAACGTCATGTCGTATATGTCGTTTGTTTAGCATAAACCGACATGTCGTTTTATGTCAAAAGTTTGCTGTAATATGCTGATTATAGTTGGAAGTAAACTCTTGTTGAAGGACATGTATTTGTTGAAAGTAGAGACGGCGTAATGTTTCTATTCTAAAGTTTAATGTCGTTTCTTCGAAACGGCATGTTATGGTATTTAATAGTGTGGTATCATTTATGAAGGACACCAACAAGTCACGTCGTTGACAAGCTAGCGTCGTTTATATAGTCAAACGACACATCTTTTTTAAAAAGTCCTCTGTATATTAAGTACAGAATCAAAACAATGTTTAGTCTAAAAGTTTCCTCCTGTCGTGTATGTTGGCATAAACAGCATGTCGTTTTTGTTTTAAATTTTGCTGCCGCCTGCGACTTGATATGATATGTCGTTTTATAGCCCTTTTTTTAAAATTATTTATAGTTCATTCTGATGGAAAAAGATTTATTTATTTATTAGCACCAGAAGAAAAACCATAAATTCAATGAAGCAAAAACAACACATCCAGTGAATCAAGGCAAAGAAAAAAAAAAGGACAAACAACAAAACCAAAAAAATGGTACAAAAGGCTTAAAAACAAATGAATATCAGCAACCAATAACGGCCAACATAAAATTAAGTAATTGTTTGTACAGAAATAGTAGAAAATAGGCCAGTATGAAAAGGTTAAGAAAGTATATAGGTCAATTTTTAGTTATAGAAATTAATAGGCCATAACTTGTCAAGTTATGGTTCATAATCAGATAAGTTATAGACAAACTTGTCAAGTTATAGTTCATAACCAGACAAATTATGGATAAAAACCGTGAATTATGGATAATAACTTGTCAAGTTATGGTTCATAACCAGACAAGTTATGGACAAAAATAATAATTTAGTTAATTTATTAACTTATGTAAAATATTAGCCTATTAATTTTAATTCATCTCAAATCTTGGCCTATTTTCATCTTTCTTCCTTGTTTGTATACATCTCTTTGGAAAGAAAAATCTGTTTGCCCAAGTGATGCCGTTTTGACCGTACCCTTTTTTGGTTTATGTAGGTTTGATTATTTGATTCTGACAAAATTTTGGTGCTTTATATAATTTGGTACCAACTTGTTTGCCAAATTTATATACCAAATGGTTTAGTATTAGACTTGCAAAAATTTGATCGAATAAAAAACTTATGCGTAACTATTACCCAATTATGTTTTTCTCCTCCTTTGTAAGGTAATTTCATCAAAAATATATGAGAAAGTTGCTAGAGTGTCTATCCAACAAAGTGAAATTGGCAAAATAATCACATCTAACTTATGTTAACTGTGCATTTTACATACTATGGTGTCAAAATTAAGGGGTAATGGTTAAAATTGAGACAAACATGGAATCATTTTAATCCAACAATGCTTCTATTGAAGTATATTCTACACATTTTGTCCGTCTCATTATCCTTGTTGTTCACTAAACAACTATTTTGTCCTCTAAACAACTATTTTGTCCTCATCTTCTTGAATGGAATTCTTAGGAGTTATCGTCTAAAAAATTAACATAACAAATAATTTAAACCTGATTAGTGCTTTTGATCACAAGAGAGTTCTGGTTTTTATTTGAAAACAATATAGTAAAAACAGTTGTTACACGTGGGCTTTAATATAAATAACTTGAATGGATTAGGCCAACTTGACAATATCAACACATCAATATCACTGGTCAGTTGAGAGATTGGATTTAGTCCTTTGTCCATACTCCAAATGGTATAAAATAGCTAGAGAGTTGGTAATTTTCTATATGTTCACCATAATTTATTTGGAAGAAAAATAAAGCCCAGAAAAATGAGTTTCAATTCTGACCTACAGAATTCCATGTTCTCCTCAGAGGACTTCAATTTTCAAGAAATTCAGGACCCACAAATCAGTTCTATTCATACCATGGAAGAAATGAACAATAACCAAGTTCATTTCTATGGAGATGAAGATTGGGGTGACTTCGGGGTTAATCCTTCCTTTTCCTTTGACTATGGCTACAATCAAGATGAAAACTTGGCAGGAGAGTTCTTTAGCTCCAAATATCACTCACAAGATCAACACCAACAATCAAATTCAGTCCATGAAATGCTTGGTGATCCTGAATATGATGTGGGCCCACCATCACTTGAAGCATGTCTAGAGGAGATATCAACAAAGATTGGTGATGAAACAAACCCAAATGCTGCCCAACATGTTGGAGTAAAGAAGAGTAAGGAATATCCATTCTCTTTGGCTGCTCTTGAGCTATTAAACAGTTATGGAAGTGGGTTTAAGAGATTGAAGGGTCAAAGAATCATTGAACCAATCAACCACGGAAATCATAGCAATAGTTTCACTGAGGTTGTGGCTGCAGATAGGAAGTTTTCGACCGAAGAAATCTTGAGGATTGCTGGTGCAAGGTTCATTCAGTCCTATTCTCAGCAGGAGAATTATAACCATCCTTTTGAGTGGTCCTTTTCTGGCCTTTCCAATGAAGAGATCAAAGATGTTGAGCTTGTGGAGTTGCTTCTTGCTTCGGCTGAGAAAGTGGAGAGTCAACAATATGAAAGTGCAAGCCGGTTAGTCAATCTTTGTGATCACTTGTCTTCCAACACAGGGAATCCGGTTCAAAGGGTGGTTTACTATTTCTGTGAGGGTCTTAAGGAAAAGATTGATAGAGAAACAGGAAGGATTGGAGGAGTATCATCGAAGGGGCTTGGAAAAAGTCACAAATTGTTTGATATCGATAATACAAGCTTGGTTCCCTGCATGCCTACTATCGCGCTACACCAAGGACAACCTCTCTTCCGAGCGGAAAAAGTTGCCGCAGTGCAGGCCATAGTGGAAAGCATTGGTGAAGCAAAGAAGGTTCATGTGATCGATCTCAGGATCGCGTTTGGCATGCAATGGACTGCCGTAATGGAAGTTCTCGCATCACGACGCGAAAACCCCATTGAGCTTCTCAAGATAACAGCTATTGCAGGCACAACAGCTCCAAGACATGTCATTGAGGAGGCAGGGAGGTGGTTGGAAAACTTTGCGTCTAACATGAAGATACCTTTTTCTTTCAAGGTAGTTATGATGGAAGACGTGTTGAGCCTCAAAGAAGACCTTTTCGAGTTGGACACTGAGGAAACTCTCGCTGTCTACTCTTCTTATGGATTGAGAAGTTTGATTTCACAGCCAACTCAATTAGAGTCTCTAATGAGGGTGATTAGGAGCCTCAATCCTTGTGTCATGGTTGTGAATGAAGTTGAGGCAAACCACAATTGTCCGGCCTTTGTGAACCGTTTCATTGAAGCCCTTTTCTTCTATGGAACTTTCTTTGATTGTCTTGAGGCTTCCCTGAAACATGATGACACAAATAGGTTGATATTCGAGTCACTCTATTGCGGTCGATCAATCAGTAACCTCGTGGCGGCCGAGGGAGAGGAGAGAAAGATTCGGCATGTGAAAATCCATGTGTGGAGAGCTTTCTTTGCCAGGTTTGGAATGGAGGAGCTAGAGTTGAGCCCATCATCCATACAACAAGCAAAGATGGCCTTGAAGAATTTCCCATGTGGGAGTTCTTGCACACTTGATATGAGTGGGAAATGCCTTATGATGGGGTGGAAGGGCACCCCGCTTAGTTCTCTATCTGCTTGGAAATACCTTTAGGCTGAGTTTGGTAGGAGGGAAAAGCAGTAGGAAGGATGGGAGTGGGAGGATCAGTGGATGGATCTTAATACCACCTAGATTCTATACTTTTCCCTCCTTCCTATATATTCTTTTCTCTATTACCAAACACATCCTTAATACCACCAATAGAAAGTAGTTGAATTTAGATTTCAGTTTCTAGTGCATTTATTCTCTTTCTAGTTCATCTCCAAGTTTTTTTTTTTTTTTTTTTTTTTGTTGAAATCATTAATTACCAACAGATCGTATTGTTATGTCTGGTTTCTGATTTCAAGTTCCATTTGTTCAACATGATTATCAAAGGATTTTTTTTTTCTTTTTTCCTTCTTTTCTTTGTGTATACATTTATTTGAATGGGAGAGACTATCTCTAGCAAACAGAAAAAACAGGAAACTTAAGACAAACAAAGTACAAACAAACAAGAATAAACCAAGAAAACTTACAATTAATCCAATAACATGATTACCAACCACAATATGAGCAAGTATAGCAGAAGCCTCTTAAAGTAGTTGAAAATAGCATTCAATCTCAAATAAATTATTCCTCATTTATTACAAATAGATGTTATCGTTCGTTCCTAATTTCATGTTTTAATTATTTACCACAAATATTGGTTTTTGTTAGGATTTTAGTTTGTGGCAACAAAATTCAAGAAAATGATTCAAACCAGGTTTGCTAAGTAATTGTGGCAACAAGTATTGAAACAATTGCATTAGACACAGATCTTTCACTTTGTTTATGAAAGTCTTTAATAAGAGTAGAATTCATTAACCCAAATTTGTAAATATGGAAGTGCTTCATAAATCTCTTGTTTGCATATCAGATTATGTAAAATTACTTGGACGGGACAAATGGGTGGCAATTATATACTTTAGTCCAACAAGGTATTCCACTTAAGTATATTCCACAATATATCTTGTTTGTCACATTGTCCTTGTTCCTCATTGAAACTAACCTTTTGTCTTCTTTTAATTTTTGAATCTTTCTTGAAACAAGTTCATAGAAAACATCTCTTTAAACATTAATTTCTTCAACAAATTATTTCAACTTAATGCATTGGTTTGTTTCTTGTTCTTGTTTGATTCAATAAATAATTATTGTATCCTAATTCTTTTTTTTTTTGGCACCATATATAATAATTAATATGCTGTCATCTAAAATATAATTTTGTGAAAATGCAGGCCACCTTGCTTATATCAATGTTACTATGCTTGAGGTCACGGTCTGAAGACTTGGTCAAATGCCTATTAATGTAACTGGAAAGTCATTGTCACATATAAGAAACTTACATTAAGAAAGTTCTAAATTTTCTTGTTCAGAATTGCTTTTACTAGTTCCAATTGAAAGAGTAGAAACATGAATTGACCATTTTTTCAGTGAAGAAATTGGCCATGATCTCTTCTGGGAAGTTAAGTTCTTCTGGAGTTGAGGATAAACTTGGCTCTAATGACAAATCTTCTGGGAGTATGGAAGAAGACAACATCGAGTACCGAGTTGGTTTTTGTGGAGAAAACTTGTGGGACTCGACGAATGCTTGTTACCTCTCTCCTGAATTTGGCTTTCTCCAAGATGACTATTCAGCAGAAGAGTTTCTTTTCTCCAAGTATCAACTACACGAAGAGAAATATTCAGAGTTTGGTCTACTTAACGATGCTCGGTTCAACGTAGCCTCGCCACCACTTGACAAATGCCTGGAGGAGATTGCAAAACTTGGTGAAGATGAAATCCCATCTGTGATATCAGGTATTGGTGAATCCAAGAAGGAGAACAAGTTCCCATTTCCTTTGGCTTCTCTTGAGCTCTTGAGAAACTATAGCGGCGGATTAAGGCGGTTGAAGAGGGAAAGAAGAGTTATGGAGCCAAGCAATGACTCAACATGTGGTGAGGTTGGGGACAAGAGACTATCATGTGTTGAGATCATGAAGATTGCCGGTGCAAGGTTCATTCAGTCCTCTTCCTTAGAGGTATGGTGTTGGATAACCATATCCAGTCTATATTGAATTAATTAAATACCAATGAAATCAATTTCGGTTTTTCATTGAAAAATCCATTCATAAAAGAGTGTTGAAAACATATTTGTCCAGGTTTAAAACATATGCTTTATTTATTTATTTTTTTTAATATATTTAGTTTGCTTTGCCTTTCCTCTGTTAATGCTCACATTCAATGGAGTAGAATGAATTAGATTTTTTAAATTGAAAATTAGCCAAGTAAGACACTGATTGAATTAGATTGGATTCCAGCAGGCAAATAACCATCCATTTGAACGGTCCTTGTGCGGACTTTCCAATGAAGATACCAAAGATGTTGAGCTTGTGGAGCTTCTCCTTGCTTGTGCCGAGAAAGTGGGGTGCCAACAGTTCGAACGCGCGGGAAAGTTGCTCAACCAATGCGATCAGCTGTGTTCCACCACAGGCAATCCAGTCCAAAGAGTAGTGTACTATTTCTGTGAAGCTCTCAGGGGAAGGATTGACAAAGAAACAGGAAGGAGCAAAACAAAGGGATTGGGGAAAGAGCAGTTGTTTGATCCCGACGTCGCAATGATGAGACTAAACGCGACGCATCATGCATTTCACGAGACGATCCCTTTCTCTCAGCTGTCCATATTTGCTGGAATCCAGGCCATTGTGGAGAGTGTTGAAGGAGCAAAGAAGATTCACATAATTGATTTTGCAATTAGGAGTGGTCTACAATGGACTGTCTTGATGCAAGCTCTTGCCTCTTGCCATGAATCTCCTCTAGAGCTCCTCAAGATCACTGCTCTTGGAACCACACAAAAACATGTGATTGAGGAGACAGGTGAGAGGTTGTTGAGCTTTGCTCAAACCTTGAATATTCCTCTCTCTTTCAAGATTGTTATGGTCTCAGACATGACACATCTCAAACAAGAACTTTTCGAGCTCGATTTCGATGAAAAAGTGATTTGTTACTCTTATTTCTTATTCAGAAGCATGCTTGCACTGCCGGATCAACTAGAGTCCGCAATGAGAGTGATGAGAAGCTTAAATCCATGTGTAATGGTTGTCACTGAGGTTGAGGCAAACATGAACTCGCCGTCCTTCGCGAACCGCTTCATTGAAGCGCTTTTCTTCTACGGTGCATACTTCGACTGCCTTGAGACTTTCATGAAGAGAGATTGTCGGAATAGAATGGCTGCTGAATCACTCTACTTTGGAGAAGGAATTAGGAATACTGTGGCTGCTGAGGGGAAGGAAAGGAAGATCCGAAACGTGTCGATAGATGTTTGGAGGGCGTTTTTCACCCGCTATGGATTGGAGGATGTTGAGCTGAGCCCTTCATCCTTGTACCAAGTGGAGCTCATACTCAAGAAATTTTCTTGTGAGGATTCTTGCACACTTGATGTGAATGGGAATTGCTTAATCTTTCTATGGAAGGGTACACCAATTCAATCTCTTTCTGTTTGGAAATCCTTCCAATATTAATATAACTTATTCTTTCTTGGGTTCAGCTCCAAACTTTTGTGTGATCCCATGATGAAGAAATATTAGCTTCGGCTTTCATGGTTTGATTAGGAATGTGATCTTTGCTAGTAATTTTAAGCAAGAGGAGTTTCAAGTGTGTTGACGGTGAAAATCGGCCAACATCAAAGGAACCGAATCTTTAGATTGAGATCCGATTCAAAAAGATCGAACATCTATAAACAAATGAAATAAAGAATAAAGCGAAAAGGAGATACAAAAATTTAGAGTAGGTCGGCTTAATGTGGCCTACGTCCATTATGGTTGTTGAGTTTTTCATTGAATTTCTTGGTTTACACACTCAAACTCCCCATTACATTCTCTCCCGACATTCAGGATCAACAAGAAAAATGTGAAGTATGGTGGAGGAGCTAGAGTCTCGAACCCCCTCTTCGTCTCCTCCCTCTCCTATTTATAGGAGACTTCCTTAAGTAACCGTTCATTCGTCGGTGTAACCGTCCAACCCACGTGTACCACTTCCGCTTTTCTTGTTTCCCTCCGGACATGACCTCTTGCTTTCTTTGTTGGTAATCCACATGTCGTGGGATCGTTGACGGGGGGTGGCTTTTTTATTTCCCTCGTTGGTAATCCACATCTTGTGGGATTGCTGATGTGGTGATTTCCTTATTTCTCACGTGACAGAGTTGGTGATTTCCTTTTTCCTCACGTGAAAAAGTTGGGCGTGAGGTTGGGCTCTTTTTCGGATGTAAATTCTCTTTTTTTTCTTCCACGTATGGCATGACGATTACTCGAGCAAATCTGATAACCCGAACAATATGAGGTGATTGATGATGAGGTTTTCCTCATTTTTCTCGTGAGAAAATAAGATGGGAGGTTAGACTTATTTTAACTTGCCCTCCCCCAAAACAACCGTCTCAGGGTATAGGGTTCGAGGCATTATGTCTAAGGCGAGTAAATTTTACATAATCACATTGACAATTTAAGTTAATAAATTGTAAAGAGTGCTAGATCATGTGAACCCATGAAAATGTTGACAATATAAGATCATAAATTTCACATTGACATTATTACCCTTTTAGTTTCAATCTTCTCACCATGTGTTTCATTTTTAGTACCTCCAAGATAGTCTAAAAATTGTCTCAGAAACAGAAGACTCTATGATTGGATTCAAATGCTTACTAACTAGTAGTTTTTTTTTTGCTTTTCTTGGTCATCACAGTTAAAAAGAAATGATTTTTTAGTACCTGTAATTGATTTTTAAGATATAAAATGTCAATTATATTATTTTCAATAATTAATAATAAATTAGTAGTTTAAAAAAAATCTGAAAATACTTTAAAACATTTATAATTAAACAATCAAAATCAATTTAAAATATTTTTCATAAAAATATTTTTAAAGTTATAATTTCTATTAATTAATAAAAATGATAATTTGAATTTTGTATTTTTAAAAATTAGTCTTAAAGTATTAAAAAAATATTTTTCTAAAAATTAAAATTATATTTTAATATTATTAAAAAGATAAAGATATATCAATATGTATGGCAGCAAGATGATCTTATCCTTAAAACTAAGCATCGACATGTCGGTTTTGAGGGGGGGGAAAAAATTTTAAAAAAGACCAGCCCAACTAATTTGGGCCTACCTTCCACGTGTTGGGCCCAGTTGAGATCCTCAGAGACTCATACCGTCACACGTCACCACTTCCTAACCAGCTGACCATGTTTAAAACGACGGTAAGGATCTGTTCATTTCGTTGATTTGAGTTTATAATTTGAGTTGAGACGTGATTTTGTGTGAAAATTTTTTACTGTAATAAAAAAGTTAAATGTGATTATTTTTAAAAATTTTTTATTATAATAAAACTCAAATTCTAAACTAAAATCTGCGAAATGAACGGAGCCTAATTGTCAGAGTCCCACAACCACAAGTGGCCTTGCGGTGGATCCCAAGTCCCAACGTGTGTTCCATGAAAAGTCAAATAATGGGTCAAAACTGAAACATTACTCTTTCCTATACGAAACTCCGAAACAAAGAAAATACAGAGATTAGAAAAAAAAAAAAAAGAGAGAGTGAGAATGGAGGATAAAGGGCAGAACGGGGCGCAGAAGGAGGGAGTAGTCGACACGTGGAAGAACAAGCACCGTATGCTCTGGGTGGGGGCCACCAGACACCCCATGATTCTCAGCATTTCAGATGGCACCATCCATCCCTCCGCCTTCAAGCGGTGGCTGGTAAAAAAAAACAAACAAACACTTTTAACATTGTTTTTTGGTTATTTGTTATTTATTTTGGCTGGTAAACTTTTCTTTTTTGGAATAAATGTCATCACTTGAGCATTACATTGGAAAGTTAGAAAATAAATAAATTCGCCATAACTTAATAAAGTTCTAGTAGTTCAGATTTCGTAGTAATAGTAGAGTATTTATACTATAAAAAAGATGGAGAATTCTTAGTGCACCGCCTGTAAATTTTTGTGGTGTAATTTTTTTTTTTTTTTTTTTCTCAAAGTGGGGTTTTTGCCATATTTATTTTAAGACTCCTACTGTTGAAAATATAAGTTTCAATACATTGAATTAGCACAAAAATATATATATATATTTTTTTTTTTTAGCGTTATTGTGGGCCATGGAGGACCCAGTTGAGGAAAAGCAATACTGTTGTTTTGTTATGATCATATTATCAATGAAATTGAGGTGGGAATTGGAAAAATGGAAAAAATGCAGGGACAGGATTGCATATTTGTGAGGGCGCTTGTTCCATTTGTGGGGAGTTTGATAGTGAAGGCTTGGAAGGAGTCTGATGATAGCAGTGATGTGGACACCATATTGAGAGGCATGGCTGCTTTGAATGATGAACTTGATTGGTTCAAGAAAGAAGCCAACAAGTGGGGTGTTCATCTCTCTGAAATGCTTGTTCCTCAAAAACCAAACCAGGAATATTGCAGGTAATTTTCTATCTTGTTTTCTCTAATCATGCAAGTTTTGATCAACCTTTTTTCTGTTTCTTCTTTTAATTGTGGAATTATTTGCAGCTAATTGAGACACACATTTATCTGTATTTTCTGTTGTAAGTTGGATTTTTCTGATTTTATTTTATTAATTTTGAGAGGTTTACTTAGGATTTTGGTGTACTTTGGTCTTCCTTGTTGCTTTAGCACTGTGCTCTAGTCGTTCAATTCGAAGGAAGATGACCTCTAATTTTGATACCATATTGTTTAAAAATCCCTCCTCTCAATGCCTTAATCAATAGTTTGGCAAGTTTTTTGAAAAGTGTATGAATAAACTTCAAAGAACCACTATGAAGTTTTATTGTTTAGACTTTAAGACTTGTAGTGAGAATTCCTATGATCAATTTTCCTTTCTGAATGAAGGGGAGGAAAAAAAAAAAAAAAAGGTATTTTCAGTTCAAGGACTAGTTATTCAGTCTAAAATCTAACCTCCATTTGTGATTGGAGTAAATTGTTATGTTTCTTTAAAATTCAAGGACTGCATTGCAAAGAAAAAAAAATTTCATGTACTTTTGTGTAGAAAATCAGGAGGCACAAATGTAAGAAGCGTAAAAGTACCACTAACTTGCTGATATCATTGAAAGTCAAAAGAACCACTGTGGAGTTTTATTGAAAATCCACTAAAACTCTGTTTAGTTTGCTGATTCGAATTGAGATTGAGTTTTTAATTCAAGTTAAGATACGAGAGCTTTTTATTATAACAAAAAAATTAAATGTGACTGTTACTGTAATAAATTCAAATTTTAAACTCTCGGTGTTTGAAATGAACTAGATATAACTAAACACTACTATTTGATCACCTTTTCTCTATTTAAGCATGACTTCTTCTTTGGCAGATTTCTAGAGAACTTAATGGGCCCGGAAGTAGAATACACAGTGGCACTGACTGCTTACTGGGCCATAGAAGCAGTGTACCAAGAGAGCTTTGCCTTGTGCTTGGAAGAAGGGACAAGGACCCCACCAGAACTGGAGGACACGTGTCAAAGGTGGGGCAATGAGGCCTTTGGAAAGTATTGTTCTTCTCTCAAGAACATTGCTGAGAGGCGCCTAAAGAAGGCCTCAGATGATTATGAAGATGTGCTCAAGAAAGCTGAAGTGGTTTTCTTGCGTGTTCTTGAGCATGAGATTGAGTTTTGGAACATGAGCCGTGGTGATACTCAACACCACTGAATTAAAATCTTTGTTTTAAGCTTAAGTCACACACATATGTGTGTGTATATCTATATATATATATATATATGTGTTATTTTCCTATCTATCAGAAGGTGTTACAGTTTTTTTTTTTAATTTTTATTATTATTTTTTTTTTTAAGCTTAAGACATATATGCTTATATATGCTTGTCCTGTATATGTACAAGTTTTATGGTGAAGTTGTGGCAAGCTAAAAGAAAAGGTATATAACAGAAAATTAAAAAAAAAAAATGTTCTATGTATTGCTATGGTGAATTTGTGTCACGTTACACTTAATATGTTTTTTTCAAGGTCATGGCTATTGTAATAGCCATTTATCTTAGGGTGATTATATTTACATTACACCCGCTAATGATCATCGATGTCCTCACATTTAACAATGCTTTTTTGTAACAAATTTGTCATGTAATGAGTAAATCAAAATCCTAAGACATGGTTGCAAGATTAAAGCGATGTGGATTCCATTTGAAACAAAACGATGTACTTTTTTCGGTGAGTTTGCTTTCTAGAAAAAGGGTAAATAAATAACATCCGCGATATGAGACGACGAAGTGGCTGTAGTTTAGTGGTGAGAATTCCACGTTGTGGCCGTGGAGACCTGGGCTCGAATCCCAGCAGCCACAATATTTTTGTAATCTATTCTTTTACTTCACATTTGGGACGTGAGATAATGATAATAATGTAAAAATTATTATTATTTTGTAGAAATAGTAATGTAAACATTATTTCCTAACATCTTTAAGACAATGGGTAATTAAAATATGGTCAAAAACTATGTTACGTTTCTTATCATTTTCTTAAATACCCCTTTGCATGTGCAACATAAGATCACAATATTGTAAACATTATTTGTTAATATGATCTGCATAACAAAGAGTACACAAACACATGGTCTTATTACACTTGAAACCATGCATATTCGGATGCCCCACCAACAAAGGGAAGGAAACAAGAGTTTCTCTTATTAAAGTAAAATAAAATGCTAAATTAAAACAAAATAAAATATATTTTTTTGGTATTTTTTTTCTCTCCTAAAAATGGCTCGAAAAAGCCTTATCAGTGCTTCTCTATATATTTGTAACGACCCATACCTTTTTGAATGTTTGAGTTTCTTGAAAACACAATTGTAAGACGTTTCCTTAAAGAAATGTGGACATCTTTCAATTTTCTATTCAAGATACAAATTTGTAACAATGCCTGAATTTCACATTTGGCCAGAAGCTCACCACGTTTCTTTGCACTGATGAGGTTGCATTTGCAGGGTCCGTCAGGCTTTGAAGGTCCGAATTCGGGACGCCGAGGATGAGCTCAATGAGAGAGAGAGAGTGAGAGATGAGAGAGAGAAAGAGAGAGAATGAGAGCTTGCCTTAGTATTTTACTAAAATATTCTCTTTAACAAGATCACATGCATTGTACATAATTAATTCTGTTAAAAATTTAACAGAAATGACGAGATTACATCTTTTTAAATAAGTTGGGGGTCGATTTGTTAAAATAAGATTATGGACCAAACTGTCACCTTTTAAAAAAGTTTAGGACTATTTGTGCAAATTACTCCTAAATTTATTTACTCTAGACCTATAACGTGAAACTTAATGCATATATATCAATTACGCTAAAACGAAATTCTTATAAATCCCCACACAACAACTTGGCAAAAAAAAGAGAAAAAGAGAGAGACCTGAAATGCCAATATTTGTAATTATTAGTCCTACAAGAAACAAAGTAGCAGCCATTAGAGAATTGTTAATGGTAGACATGTATATTACAGAAGAACAACAAAAGCAATCAGCTTAGAGCATTGTGTTTTGCACATACACCTAGGCCGTTTATATATAGAAATATGATGGTTATTCTACCTCATTAATATACTAGTTAATGAGGCACGTAATATATATGAAATGCTTGGTTCAATTCTAGCAAGTAAGGTAAAAACAAAGCTTGGTTCAATTCTAGCAAGCAACAACATATGAAATGCAAAAGGAAAAGAAACTTAAGACCCGTTCATTTTGCTGATTTGAGTTTAAAATTTGAGTTTTGTTACAGTAAAAAAATTTTTACAAACAGTCACATTTAACTTTTTTACTACAGTAAAAAACTCTCACATAAAGTCACATCTCAACTCGAATTAAAAACTCTAATCAGCGAATGGGCTCTTAAATATTATACATGTTTGGAATTCATAAGTATGCTTTAAGCTTGGGCCTACCACAAAAGTTAAAAGACGTCATATCATATCATAAAACAAAGAATCTAAGTGAATGTTTGGTTCATAAATTCAGAATCATGTTTCAGAATTATTTTTTATTTATGTGTGTTTTTTGTAAGAAAAAATACTGTAGCGAATCACGAACCATGATTCAAATCATGACACGAATACACTAACCAAACGCACTCTAAAGCCTTGTTCATTTTACTGATTCGAGTTTTCAATTTTAGGTTTTTACAGTTAAAAGCTCTCAGAAAATGTCACATTTCAGCTCAAATTAAAAACTTAAATTCGCGAAACGAATGAGACCTAAGTGTTTCTTTTATTATTATTGCTATTATATAAATAAATTTTGGATTGGAATTTAATTATTGACGGCCCTGTTTTTTTTGCTGATTTGAGTTTAGAATTCAAGTTTTACTACAGTAAAAATCTCTCAAAAACAGTCACATTTAACTTTTTACTACAGTAAAAAATTTTTACACAATATCATATCTCAACTCAAATTAATAAATCCAACGGACCAGTCACATTGTTTCAAATATCCTATATTAGACCCCACCTTTCACGGAAACCCCCACTGACTTCTATGCATTTTTGTAAAGTTGCGAAACTTTTAAACAACTAATGATTATAAGACCTTCTCGATTTCCACCAACCTTGTTTGACAATGAATATTCCAAATATTATTCGCTCCTATGCAAAAGACTACAGCTATACAAGTACCAATTTTCCATAATGTGACAAACCATCTAACAAAAAAAAAAAAACAACAAAAAAAAAAAAAACAATTCGCCACATGAAGTTTTTGTAGTTGTCGTTATAAAGTGAGTTTTTTTATTCATTTTCCTTTAAAAAAAAAAAAAAAAAAGCCGCCAGGCGGCTGAACTGTAGCAATAGTTTTTTTCAAAAGTTATAAACCATGTGTCCCCCCCAAAAAAAAAAAAAGTTATAAACCATGTGGGTTGTGGACAATCTGACTTTTTTCTTTTATATTTTAGCAGCCACTAACATGTATTGGTGTGGGAAATATCATGTTCTTGTGATTTTAAACAGATGAATATGATAAAAATATTTTCAACGTTCTCACTATAAAATTCGTCTGAAAAAGAGAATTAATGCACATAGAAACTTATGTCTCACAAAAACGACATGTTTTCTTTACCAAGTTTCATTAACGACATGCCATTTTTTTTTTTTTGGGTGGGGAAGTTTTTTGGACGAATAAATCGACGTTTTCCTTGCAGGTAAACGACAGCGAAATAGAAGACATGGCGTTTTAAACGACATTTATCTTCATGAGAAAGCCGCTTCATATACAATTATCCATAAACGACATATCGCTTTTAGTCGGAAGTAAAAGGATGCGTCAATTATCATACTATTTGGTAAAAATAAAACGATCTCTCGTTTATGCCTGCAATGTTGTTTTATATAAGTGACGTGTAGTTTGTGGAGGAGCTTTTTGCCAAAGGTAAAACGACTTGTCGTTTCCTCACCAAGTGCACATAATTACGTCATATCGGGAGAAACAATTCGCGTATAGGATCATAATATCGCTCCTATTTATAACTGCAATATTCCATATGATATAAATATTGTACAAAAAAAAAAAGGATGTCTTTTAAGTTTATAAAGCAATACAAACATACTTATATCTTCATGGAGGAGAATACACAAAAATATGAAATAATGTACACACAGATTCTGTTTTCCTTATTAAATGGGAAATAGAAAGTATGAGATTCTCTTATTGAATAAGAACACACTGCAAGGAAGCAGAAGAAACAGAGTTTCCAAGCTTACATATCACTAGATATGGAAAGAGTAGTAGAGTTGTGCTCAGCCAAAAGATCCCAATTTCTTTGTACACCAAAATTGAGATTGTATTTAGGCTGTTTATTAGGGTAGAATACCCCAAAATTCTTCTCCAACTCCGGACTCTTTTGGTTCTCATTAAACAGGGCAAACAAATACGTCTCAATAGGCTTGTTTGGCCTCTTTGGGGTACCGCCCTTGACATGCTTAATAAGATTTGTGTAGTAAGTCCTTGCATTGTCGAGCGTTGCCCCGGTCCCGCCTGCCGATGGCCAGCCGCTCTCCGACACGACGACATCCAAATCCCCTCCCCAAGCCCCCTCAAGAGAAGAGTAGAGCGCATCCAACATTGCATCAAAGAGGTTTTGGTATCCACGTCCTTTGTCCCATACCGAAATAGACGGCGAAGTGAACAAAGCATAAGGAAGAGAGATGTCTCCAGGATTGCCAACATAGCTAAAATAAGTGTAGATATTGGCGAGTATAGGCGTTTTAGCCCACACCAAGTGGCCTATAATGGGGTCCACAAACCACCTGACATCATCCCTAAAGGCACCCTCTGATGGGGGATAGGACTTGCCTATCAAGGTGGTGTCAATGGCTGTTGAGACCTTGATTTGCTCGTTGAGACCGGCCGATCTAACCGCGTTGAAAACGTTCACAAGAGCCGGCCGGAGAGATTGAGCAAGCGAGGCTTGGTGAATTGGGCTTACTTCATTCCCAACTGCAATGTACCTTATTCTCACACTTGGCCAGAATGGCACCACATTGCTCTGCACCCATGAGGCTGCGCTTGAAGCGTCTGTAAGGCGCTGCAGTTCCGAGTTTGGGACGCCGAGTATGAGTTCGATGTTAGAGCCTTTGAGGGCGTTTAGAACCGCGTGATTCGCGTCGTACATTCTCATTCGCTTGATGTTGTTTGACTTGTAAAGAGCTACAACTTCTGATATTGGTGGAAGGTTGTTGCCCAATAGTCCACAACAAACACCAACTTGTGCACCTGCATTCAGAAATTTATGGGTCATTTTCATGCCATTAATTCTGTTGAGCTAGGCCATGTAATATATCAATCAGGTTAGCTATATAAATTAGTAACTTAAAAACACAAATGTACAAGAGTCAAAATAGACATACATGTAATTAGCAAACATAAAAACAGGAGTAAATTTTCCTGCATACCAAGCAACGCCTTTAGTCTTCTATAATTCGAATCAAACACACACAATTACTATATATAACTGCCACTTAGTTTAAGCAAAAAGAAAATACTTATAAATTAGAGAAAGAATGAAACCTGTAATGCCAAAATTAGCAGCAATGAATCCCAAAAGAAGCATTACAGCAGCCATTAGAGTTTTGTTAATGGTAGCCATGGAGAAGAATGACAAAACAATGAGCCTCAAGGGTTGTGATTGTTACCCTCCAATTCAGCTCTTTATATAGAAACTATTACAAAATGTCAGAATAAGAAGATCTAATATGTTATATGTCAATTATTAATCAACTTGGTCGTCGGCCGCCCATACTTTTTAACAATTCAATGTATGCTTATCTCTGTGGATGACTCTTTACTAGTTTCTTTCTTTCTTTTTCAATTTGCCTCACCTTTAATAAGTGGATATACTTGATGTCATTATCTTAATGTGCAATGGCGGAATTAGCCTTTGAATTCAGTGGAAGCGTATACTAAATTTAGAGAAAAATGGACGTTTTGTGTTATTTTAACTTGTAAGAGGGAAAATAGGATAACCTCTATTGATTTATAGCGAAATTTAGAATCAACCAAAATAAATAGTAATATCATAGTATACTTTTCAAAAACTAGTCAATACATATGTGTGTCATATCTTCATTTTAGAGGGAGCTAATAAGGAATTATTTTTTTGAGTGGGGCAAAATGAGAGAAATAAAAAAAATTTCAGCTGAAATTAAAAAAAAAAAAAAATCAGTGGGGGCAGTAGCCCCTACTCATTACAACATACCTCTGCCACTGTTAATGTGGAAAGTTTATTCATGTCTATTGTAACAATTTTATTAAGAATTAGATGTCTCAATTTTATACTTCTAAGAGCAAAAAAAAAAAAAAAAAAAAAAAATCATAGAGAATAACATTAATAAGAAAACACAAATTTTATATTAGTGTTTTCACTCGATATAAGAACTATGTTCACTTTTATTCACAATTTAAAGTCTGTATTTTTTTTAACCTCTCTAAATGATGCCCTCTGCGTGTTTTTAATCAGAATAATAATTAGATTACACAATTTAACATTGGTATGTTAATAACAAGGCTTTGATGATTTTTCCCTTAGTTACATCAAGAAACAAGATCCTATCCTCTATATCTGTCTATAAGTGAAAAATCGGAAAGAACTAGCTAGCTTTTTCATTTCACGACATGCATTTTCTGATCAGAGTTCAGACAATATATACACAGACAATATGTGTGTAGATATATATACGTATAATACCTATATATATATATATATACACACCCACAATAAAACAGTTTTTGCCAGCTATTTTAGAGCTTTAATCAAAACAAGACTCCTGCAGTAACTATATAGTTTTTCTTTTTCCAAAGTTGACCCCATTTCAAGTTTCCTTTATCTTTTTGGATCATTATTAAGCACAAGTGACGATGGCACCATATATAGTAATAATAGAATATATATGACGCATTTGTACTCAAGATTAATAATTATACCTGACCATGCTTGGTCTATGGAAAAAAAGGTCACTCTAGCTCCTACTAGCACAACTTATCTTAGTCATATATTTGGATTAGAATAGAGACATGTTGCTTCAGAGACGTTATAATATATATACTCCTCACCTCTTGATAGAGCAATTCGAGTTGAGATGTGACTTTATATGAGAGTTTTTTATTATAGTAAAAAAATTAAATATGACTGTTTCTGATAATTTTTTACTATAACAAAACTCGAATCGATAAAATAAACGGAATATTAAAAAAAAAAACTATACAACATATATTTCCTATCTATTATTGGAAACTCGCCTAACTTTTAATGATAAAAAAAAGTATGACTTTTAATCAAATTCTATCAATATGGAAAACTCGCCTAACTTTAACGATAAACAATTGTACGAGCTATTCAAGATTTTTGGCTTTTTGTTAATAATGTAAAAACTAAAATCTATTAACCCCACCAGGCGGCGGCTACACCATAGCACTTGCATTATAGTATTTTCTTATCAAAAAAAAAAAAACGAAAGCATTATTAATGAGCTAGTACTTAATTAACTTGACCAAGTGGGAAATATTATAGGTTTTTTAAATGGATAGATAAAAAGGTCAAAAAGAAATGTAATTCAGAAAAGAGAGAGAGCAAATAAGCCATCAGAGTCTATTGTTTTGGCCCTCAACACCTGGCTTTGGCTTCAAACTTAAGTAAGAAGAACTAAGGGGATGTTTGTTTCCTGTATTCATCTATAATTCTGAATCATAATTCATAGTTCTCTACAGTGTTTTTTTCTCACAAAAAATACACGTAAAACGAGAATGATTCTGAATCATAATTCTGAATCCATGAACCAAATGTCCACTAAGACCCGCAAATCTTATTCACAGAATGTTAACTCAACCTAACTATCAAGTCTTACTCAAAATGATTTAGATTTTAGCGAGCTGATGATTGAAAAATAACTAGTTCATGAGTAAGCAGGTTTGCTAAGTATATTAGAGTTATTTTCGTCTGAAATCTTTTCATTGAGAGACCTTAATATGAAACTAAGACAGAACTTGTTGTTATCACTAGCAATTATTGGACCAAACAATTATGATGTTTAAGGAACGGCTATCGTGTTCTATGTTGAAGAGTTCCGACTGATTTGAGTACTTAAAATATAGTGATTATAAATAAAGAATTAATGGCAGTATTTTTTATTATGTATTAATAATATGTACTTAATTCAATCAGAAAGTGACATGTCGTTTAAAATTTTTATAAACTACATAACGTATTTAGATGTCTTCTAGTACTCTGGATCAAGATACCCGAAACCGTCATTGACCATAGTGCTGACGTACGACTTTAGATCTCATGTCTCGATATAAATCCAATTAGAGAAGATCTAAACTCCAGCAACATAGATATATTCACTACCCTAACTGAAACTTATCACAAAATAGACTTTACGTGTAAATACACATTCATGTTCTGTTCTTCTTCCTGCTCTATTTCTTTTTATAAATTTATCATGATTCGACAAATTTCATACCACTCAAAACTCTCACAACCTAACCATAATTTTATTTTAAATACATTTTTAATTTTTGGGGAATTATATTAATAGATTGAGCTCTTATTTATAAGCTTACAAAAGATTAAAATCTTATTACACAACCAATGTGAGACTTAGCCTACAGAAGATTAAAGGCTTATTACAGAACCAATGTGGGACTTAGCTCACAGAAGATTAAAGCCTTAACACACTAAGAGGTTGTTTGGTTGGGAGATTCATCCCCTTATTCGAATCATGGTTCATGGTTCGTTACAGTATTTTCTCTCACAAAAAATACACGTAAATCAAAAATGGTTCTAATCACATGATTCTAATCTATGAACCAAAAAACGTCTCCTTAGAAAAATGGTCGCGAACCACCTAAGCTACATTAACACACAAAAGGAAAAATGGTCTTTAACAATGACATTTGTTATTGTTAAAAATCTCAACGTTGCTAAAAACTTGTTGTCACTAAAAGTAAAAAAAAAAAAAAAAAAAAAAAAAAAAAAAAAAATTTTTTTAAGCGATGATATTATAAAAACTCGTAGTTAAAAGAAATTATCTTTCAGCGATGATATTATAAAAACTCGTAGTTAAAAAGGCGTAAATAAGCAACAAAATTTCATCGTACTGAGAATTTTAACTAAATTATTAAAACATATCGCTAAAAGTTTTGTCGCTAAAAACTTTTTTGTTGTAGTGACAGCATCCAATTCAATAATCCATTGAGAAAAAGTACAAAATCTCGGCAACTCTACCCCTTCCCAAACAGCAAGACATTTGGCCAAACAGGGAAGAAAACGTTTAAGAATTTTCTTCATAGGACCTGGCCACTCTCATCATTCAGATCTCTCTTAGTTATACTTTGTTTACCTCACCTTCAAGATTGATAAATGATCCTAATAGTGGCTTGGATAAGAAAACATTTTTGACACAAAATTATAGTGGTAAATTATCCTAATAGAAGTTGTTGTATTAGAGACTCCGTGGCCTTCGGGTGGTGAATTGGAGGAGTCATGTGAACATGCGAAAATTTATTGTTCAAAATATTATTAGGAGTATTAAAGTAGTAGTACCCTAAATAGGCCTAATAGATCCACACAACTTATTTGCTTTCTATGTTTGGCGAGAACCAAAGGGAGCACAATCACAGGATAAGAATCATGGGACATTAGGGTGTTTGGTATGAGGATTCGTGTCATGGTTCGAATTATGATTCGTGACTCGCTACAGTAATTTCTCTCATAAATTCAGGATTCGTTTGGTATGAGGATTCAAACTAGGGTGATTCTAATCATGATTCTGAAACTAGAACCATGATTCATGCTTTTGGGTTCAAATCATGATTCTGAAACCATGATTCAGAATCAGGAGTTTAAATCACCTTGAATTAAGAGGGGGGTGGTTTTAGAATCATGATTTGAGCTAGTTTAAAACATCACATCAGATTCCGAATCATGATTCAGAATCATCCAAACCAAACACGGATTTTGAATGTGTATTCGTGTCATGATTTGAATCATGGTTCGTGGTTCGCTATAGTATTTTCTCTCGAATCATGATTTTGAATCCATGAATCAAACGTCCACGCGTTTGGTATGAGGATTCAAATCAGGGTGGCTTTAATTTTAGAACTAGAACCATGATTTATGGTTTGAATTCAGGATCCAAACCATAGTTTAGGATCCGGAATCAGAACCAGAGGTTTGAACCATCCAAAATCAAGGGGGAGGTAGTTTTATTTTTTGGAGTGGTTCTGGTTTAAAACATCACATCAGGATTCAAACTTTAAACCAGAACCATCCAAACCAAACACTGGTTTTCAAAAACCATTTTTTACTTTTTTGTAAACAAACAAAGGTTTGAACTAAAATTATAGTTCTGGTTCTAGAACCCTCATACTAAACGCAACCTAAACAAACATTGATTATGAACCAAGATCCATAATTATGATTTTAGATCCATCTACCAAACACATAGATAAACTGAAAATGGAAAAGTAAAACTCAAAGTAAACAAAAAGTAATTACATAAATCCATTTTTAGAATAGCATCATTAATTTCTAAATTTTAAGCATTGCGACAATTTGATCATTGTATATATGCATATATTTACATAAAAAGAATATATAACATATGTATGTCGAGGCAGGACAGGGAGTGCTTC